GTTTTTTTTCTTTTGATTTACAACTTTACAATATTGATAACAAGATCAGTATGATATGTTTTTAAAATAGATATTTTATACCTCTTATCATATAATTTAGATATTCAACTATCTAGATCTTCATAATTTCTAAAATATTTATTTTAAAAATTATTTTGTATAATTTGCTATATAGATTGGTTATCATAATAAAACCAGTAAATGCTATAAAAAATATTTAAATTTATGACATTACTGGTTCTTTATACGTTTTGAGGATCAGATTTACTCCTACAGTCATAAAAACTCATATTTTTTAACTTTAAAATAAACTAGTAATTCAAAAAAATTAAGAAGTTTTACCTTATTTTTTATATAAAAAAATAATCATTAAAATGTATAGAACACTTGTAATAGATAATAATTTATTATAAGAATATACTGTACAAAGTTTTTTAGAGACTTGGACAATAATAATAAATTTTAATTGGTTTTTTTTTATTTAATCTCTATTTTTTATTATAATAACAGGTTTTTTAATATTTTTAATTATTTAAAATAATTGTAAATTTACAGTGCAAGTTTATTATAAGTTTGTATTATCTAAACTAGTTTGTATTTTTTTATATTACTCTAATATTATAAAATACTTTTATTAAAGTTACAGACCCTAGAACCTACTAATTAATAAAGACTAGTTACTATAATACAGGATAATTATTCAAACTATTACTGATAGGATTCCTTTAGTTATAAGAAGTTTGGAGAGATAATAACTCCAATATATACTATTTATAAAAATTAATAACTTAAAACAAATAATAAATATGATTTTATAAAGCCTTGCCAGTATAGCAATAGAGTGTTTGAAGTTGAATTAACTATAAAAACCTTTTTATAAATTATATTTTTATTTCTAACAAAAACTTTTAACTATTTAAAATAATTATAAATTATATATATATATATTGTATATATAGTGTTACCCAATTGGTGAAGATCATTTTGCTGTTGCCGCAACTATAGCAATTATCATGTGACAGTACTTCCTGGCTATGCCTAATATCACATTAACAATATCAATAATTGAATCAAATTTTATAAACTATTATTAAATCAAAACTTAGTCCATATGCTAAATCAAAAAGAGTGATAACTTATAGAATTAAATTAAAAAAAAACTCACTGAAATTATTTAATTTTATTGGTTTCGACCTACGAAATTTATGATCGGGAAGTAATCTTCAGCCCGGAATTTGCTTGAAATAAGGGTACCCGGATTTTGATCGGAAATGATCTGCATAAATTTCCTATACAATAATATCAAATGACATTTATTTAATGATCTGAATATTATCGTACACCGTTAAATTCGCTACGATGAAATTTTTTTCGTTCTGCAATATTTATATATTCTTTCTGTTTATCTATGATACAATTTTTACTTTTTATCAACATAATGCATTTTTTGCTTTTATTACTAAATTATATAGTATGTATTTATAAAAAGTATAATAACAAAATATAAATATATAATGAATGTTGTATTGAAAAATTTAATTTGGATCGGTGGAAATTATTGTATCAAAAAATGACGCATAATACAGTAAAGAAATTCTTTTTATCTTTTTACGACACGGCAACTCGATTAAAATATTCATAATGATAATCAACCTTTAAAGCTCCGACCCTTCCTTCCTCAAAATTGTCAGAGGTACTATATAAAACATATGTTCTTTCCTGATTACAAGGACTATTACTTCTTCTAAAATCATTTTCAACAAGAACTTTACGCTGTGAGATTCCACCATTCTTATATTCAAAACACATTTTAAAAGTATTTAATTTATTCTTGTCTTTGGGTACCTCATTATCACGGCCATAATACGTTAATGTACGATAATCAACATCTTGTTCTGGAACAAAAGTAAAAACAACTTTCTTTAAACGGCAATGACTCTTCTTTTGATCAATTGCTTGTTTGAAAGTATTATCAATATTCTTGATGAAATAACGAAAGTTAAAACCCTGATCATCTGCATTAATATCGATATCTTCACTATATATATACGAGAACCAGTCAGATTTTTTAGTAGTATTCGTTGAAGCAGGACCCTTGTTACCGTGATTAGACATCCTATATGAGAAACAGCGTTAATAATGAATAAAATTCGATAAAATAATTTATCAAAATACATACTATTGTATTATACCTAAAAGTCTTATAATAATTTTTTATATATAGAGTCAAAAGAAAGAAAATATTTTTTAAAATCAAGTACGTCTGTACGTATTTATAGTTTTATGTAGTCAAATCAATATTTCGGAAAATCTTCATAACCAATCAGAAGTCAGAAGATATATATGTAGGATTATTAAGTCCGACAATGCAAAGCAAATAATAAAATACAAGAAAAGGTAATCTTAGTCTACTTTGGATTATTAATTAAGAATTTTGGAGACAATTTTATTTAATCGTAATCATATCGATATAATTTGTGTTTATCCGTAATCATATAATCTGAGTTTATCCGTAACTAATTATTCGTCAATCACTAATGCTAACTCCGATTATAAAAATTACTAGATTTAGAAACAATTACTTATTACTATTATTTTGGAAAGTTTAAAGAATTCGCAAACACTTGTGATATCATCTGTATTACGTGTATAACATAGAGATAACGGTACATATTAATAAAGTTTCAACGGAATCCTAAAAAGGAAATTTCAATATAAAAATAAATAAAGTAGAAAATTAGGGCTACGTACGGCATTAAAGGATGTAGAAATAATTTATTGCAAATTTTATTTATATAAAATTTCATTCTCATCATTTTTTAATTAGTGCGCCAAAGTTGAATTAAATATCGATATTAATTTTCTCGTCTTTTTGTGTTCTATGTCTGATAGTCCTATCTGAGCTGCTATTTCCCTTTTGGAGATCGAAAAAGAAAGCTACTTTAGCCGACCGAAGATGCTACAATACCTATTTACAGACTTAATCCGATAAATTTGCACTGGTTAGATATTTTGACTGTCAAAAAGTTTTATAAAATATCAATTATAAAATTCCAGATCAAAATCCTGACCAAACTAGTGTGTGCCAAAATACTGCGTATGTAATGTATCTAAAATTATTTACTGCGTATGTATCTAAAATCGTAAAATCATTTACCGTGTATGTATCTAAAATCGTAAAATCATTTTGATTAAAAATTCCGATTCACATTTTATTAAGCATAAATTCAGCAAGTGATCTTGAAGCATGAAAGAACATGGGTAGCTATCTATATTGATAATATGTATGCACGATATTGCAGTCAAGATATGGTTTTTTATACTTAATTTAAATAACTTACATTACATTACAGGTTCTTTCTCAAATCGAGATTTTATTTTCTGTATTGCATAGTAAGTGATGAGCACTGATTGCACGGAATAAATTAATCTTTGTAATTGAAATGACAAGCTATCAATAGTATGATTTTCTAATTCTTCATCTCACTATTAGATCGTGCATATTGAATTGCAGGCAGCGCAGTTAATACTTAGATCAAATCAATATGACATATTCAGACCACCTGTCATATCCACTAACCAGGTGCCTATCCGTAATATAAAGGGAGAAAACTAAGCTCAATATGATCTCCTCTAAATTGACGGGTTTGTGATCGAACGCAGATCAAGGGTTCTTGTTTTTGAAATTGACCATGCATATAAATATTGAAATATCAACATTAAAATAATACTAATAGTAATGATACGATAATGTTAATAATATTTTATCATCGATTGACATTTAATGTTAAAATAAATTATCAATCCTTGAATCAAAAATTTTTTTATTATTAAAATCGTCGATTCTATTGACAATTGTTGATCTAATTTTAAATAATAACGAAAGTAATTATATTATTGACTTTTTTGTTTATATTGTACATACGTATAATAAAAAATTTATTAAATAATTCTTATTATATATGTATATAAAGACATTTTTCTCAAATGAACATTCTTACAGTTCTGGATAAGATCTACTAAATGAATCTACCAAGTTGAAATTTTCAAATGTCAGACTATTTAATTGGCATGTGTTCCCATCAATAAATTATAACTGATAAACATCTTTAAGTGTAATGGACATCCGAATATCCGTATTAAACTGTAGCCTGGATAATCTTATCCGTCAACATAATAACCCCTTATTGTTATTAGTAATCAGCATAACCTTCCCATGAAACTTGTAACATGCCTGTCTCTTAGAATAATCTTTTTATCAATACTATATACAAACAAATATTACTACGTATACGTACGTACGTACGTATTACGTACATACTTGAATACAAAATATATACTAATTATTTATCAATTTGTGATTTATTAATGCAAGATTTCTAAATTTGCACAATGTACAGATTTTGCCTTTGTGCGAGATTAACATCATGCATACTGTAACTGAGAACGATACGTACGTCGTTACTTAAAATTTTGTGGATTGAATATTATATAATGTATTTAGTAATAATGTATTTAGTAAGATTATAGGGCGAGATATTTATTTTGCCTCGCATTATTATTAAAATAATTTCTTTTACTAATAGACTACGTATCAATGATCACAACGAATTTACAGTATTCAATATCGATATCGTTAATAATAATAAATTTCTATAATGTTATTCAAATTTGATAACAATAATCAATTACCTACGTACGTACGTACATGTATGTAAGAACGTCTACATACATACTCTACATACTACAGTGGCATTAAGATGTGCCTATCCTAGTTTGGCCGACAATGTGAGTCTATTTTATTATTTTACGAACCTAAATGATTATATAAAATTTATTTTGAATATATAAATGAATCATACCTCATTTTGAAGAAAGAATGTAGCTTTTATTTCATACGATCTTTATACAAATTATAAATTCTTTCATTTATTAAAAGCTAATTTTTTTTTTATATAATTGTTACTACAGTATCAAAGCTTTCAAAAAAACGAACAATAATGCCTTGTTATGCGGATACTATTGTTAGAATTAAACATGTTCGTCGAAATAAAAAAGAGGATTCAGGAAATTTCTCTGTATGGGCTATTGGAACGTACCCAGTAGAATGTGAAATTTACGAAATTGAAATGACTTTACCTATACCAATTAATCCAGATGATCGTGATCCTGATTCACAAGCAGTTTTTCAAAGAGATGAATATTATTCTATTGGAGGAAAAGTTGTACCTGGAAGTTATGCTGGGAATAGAAGATTAAAAGTATTTACATAATAAGTTTTGAAAATCTTTATTAAAATTAAATTAATAAATAAATAAATAATAATTTAATATGTATTTAGATGATGGTTGCCACCTCAACTCATATAACACTAGCTGAAAAAGAAAAACCTTCTGATTCAAATAGATGTCCTTTAAAGGTTTCTTTAGTAGGAATTCCACAAGCAATACCAATTGAAATTAAAAATACTGAAAGTTCTGTCTTCGAAATTATAGTATCTGATTACATCGCTCAGCCTTACAATTATATAATCAAGGTCGTTTATCCACATATTAATAATCAATTTAAACATTTCAAAACTTCCATTCGTCCACATGAATCTGTCATTTTCGTAATTGGACAATTGGAAATTATAGATAATGAATTTTATGTTTACGCTAGAGAAATAAATTATGTTGATATGCATCTCTCCACAAAAAAAAAGGATTATGAAATAAATAATAACGAAATTACTTCACTTTCAACAAATACTACTCGATCAAAGCTTCTTTATATTCATAAAAATGTTGCTAAAAATTCCGGTGATACTTCCGAATTTCATTCCTCAACTTCGACAACTTCTGAATATTTCGAAAGTATATATCAAGATGATCTATCAAAAGATATTGAAAATTCCGAAGAAATTTAAAGAATTTGAAGAATTATTTGGAAATTCACAACATTTAATTCAGTGATATTGATAACGTCAAAGGTAATTGAAAAAAATTATATATATATGTAATTTTTTTTTTTTACGAAACTGATCAAAAAAAAAAAATTAAAAAATCAATAATAGGTTTCAACCGTTTAATTGTAGATATTGCAATAATAAATGGATATGTGTTTACTATATATCAATCTATTCTCTTATAAATTTTTAAATTTTTTATTCTTTAAATATTACAATTTTTCATTTTCTGTTTATATATTATTCATATATTATATATATTAAAATGCTGTATAAGCCTAAAATAATTGAATTTAAAAATACCTCCTCTATAATTTATATATGGAATACGTACGTACGTACAGTACGTATATATTTATTAAATTTGGATAGATGATCTCAAAACTGCAAAATACAGCTCAAATTTAAGTTTCGTTACACTTAATCTTGCCCGATGTTACGCTGAGTCCAGAAACGTAAACTGAAGCAGGTATGTGCCCTTGTGACCTCGGGTATTTCTAAATCCCGACTTACCGGCCAGAAATCCCAAAGTCAGAACGGGAATCTGGGCAATAAGGATAATTTCGGTAATATGGTGGGTTCTAATAATGCTGGCGTTCTTGGCTATAAGGCCAATTTGGGGTTTATTGAGGATTCTATAATATAGATAATTCTTGCAAATGTAAATAGCTAAATTCTAAATGCCTTGGGAAGAAAAACTCCCGCTTTCGCTTTATAATACAACTTCATAATCACACAAGTGTCTATAAAAACATGCAATTCTATCACTAAACATAAGTTAATACATTCTAAATTCCTACGTTTATTAAAGTTTTACTAAGACTATTATTTTCTCTAAAACCATCCCGAAACTCTGCCTAACCACTCAGCCAAATCTAACACGACCTAACATAACCTAAACGTTGGTTATACGTTGGTTATACGTTTCGTTCTAGCGACCAACTCGCCGACTATAGGATTATCAACACAATAAAAATGTGTTGAACAATGTAATAAAGAATGATTATGTGTATCAGATCAACGCTTGCGTCAAATATCGCTTTAGCCTGAGTTAGGATTACACTTAGTTTGAATAAGTGTATAATTTAGGCCGATCTATTAATTCTGATCAAACAATCATTAACGTTAATGATTAATGGGCGAAAATATCCAAATTTCGTGATGATTTATTGCGGTTTGCATAATTTTGTGACCCCTATATGATTAATTTTTTTTTATGATTAAATGATTGTGATTGCGATCGCGATTGCTAAAGCCTGCTAATCTATCATAATTCTGAGCTTGACACAAACTTAGATTCATGATAAATTGACTGGCTTTAGCAATCGATCGTAATCACAATCATTTAATCATTAAAAAAAAAATTAATCATAAGGGTCACAAAATTATGCAAACCGCAATAATGTGAGTGATTAGGTTAAATAAAATTTGGGCCAATCATTTGTGATGTGGCATGATTATTGAAAATTAAAGTGATTTTTTGATCAGAGATTGTAAGCCCGATAATGAACTGCCTACGAATCGCTTATGAATTTACTCATGAATTTGTACCTGATTGTAACCTGCTGCTTATAAATTTTTGTACCTAATTGTGACCTATATAATTACTTATAAATTTAATAATCACTGTGTTTCAACTAGAGATTTTCGCCCATATGAATTTTGACACCTGACGATTTACTATAAAAATTAGATGTTACTAATTTATATTCGTTTTATTTAAATTTATTTTATTTATTTTATAATTAAAATTTGAAAACGGCAAAAACTTTTTTTAACAATTAATCATGTAACTACTGTATCCTAGCTTTTTGATCCAAATTGACTTTAATATCATTCTCGAATTGTTGCGCTAATATTTTTATATTTACCAACTAGAATAAAATAAAATTTGTATACAGTAGTGTTTTGTAAATATTTGCGGCGATAAGTGGCTTGTTTCGATTAATAAACTAGAGATAGTTACGCGATGTCAACGTGTAAAATCAGAAATAGAATATCTAAACAGAGATCAGAACCAAAATTTAAGGTTAAATTGACACTCATATTATAATAAAAAGAAACTGGCTAATTTTGATCTATGAAATATCTATAAATTATAATATAAACCTATAAACCAAGCAATACTATATATCAGGGTTGTTATTGAACTGAGGACTGGACTATAACCAGTCCAATTTGATCCAGTCCAGTTCATTAAACTAAATTGGACTATTATTGGTCCAAAAAGTCATGTGATATATATGTACGTACGTACTGTACGTGGTTTTTTGTGTAACGAACATGATGATCTATAGTATGCAAAAATTATTAAAATTATTAAGTGGTAATTCACAATATTATTATAATTAGATTTTGGGTAAATATCATATAAATTTTAAAGTGAAATCTACAGATCCCTCAAAGTAAAGTTATTTTTTTACTAAGCTAACCTTTTTCTCTTCATAATAAGTTGTAGAGCAAGTCTTTGTGATTCTAATGGCAGTAAGATCGTTAAAATTGGTTTAGTAGTTATTGAGATATCTTAACTTTCCTCTTTATACTTATATAAAATTTCTTTACAAAATATAAAGTATAAAGAAGTAAGTTAAGATATTTCAAGAACTACCAAGCCAATTTTAGCGATCTTACTGCCATTAGAATCACAAAGACTTGCTCTGCACCTTTTATTATGAGGAGGAAAAGCTTAACTTTGAAGGATCTGCAGATTCTACTTTACTTTAAAATTTATGATATTTGCCCAAATTTTACTATGATGATACTATTTTATTAGTTTAAAATACAGGTTTTGTTGAGTAACCGAGCAAATTTTTTAGCTAGTTGAAATTTGATAATTTTTTAAATAAGATTTTTAAACTTCAAATTGTATCTTCTCTGTAAATTACATGTTAACTGTTTTAAAAATTTCGCTCATTTGTTTAGCAGAACCTATATTATAAACTAATAGAGATTGTTTAAAAAAAAATTCTTTAAATTTTTATTTAACTTATTGAAATAATCTATTTGTCACAGGTGGTGACGTTATTCGGATTTTATTTGTAATTGTATTTAGGATTAGAAAATATTAGTATGTAGTAAAATTATGCAAGGAATATTTTTTGTTAAGTTATGGAACTTGATTTCATATACATAATTTTGAGCTATTTTGATTTAAAATTTTGAGATTTTTTGTAAAAGCCGGCGACAAATATGATAAATAGTTTTTATAATTGCGATCGTTACACGAAATATATATAATTATAAGACTTATTATAATTAGAGATTATGCCCAGATAATGATTACCCGGGCCCCGTATAAGCACTCTTAACCGGATAGCAATTGTTAACCTGGATAACGAAATTCAGCATGGCTTTAGCGGTTTGGTTGGTTACATTCAAATAATTCAAAATTTCAAGAACCTTTGGATTTGGCCAATAGTTCAAATCATGTAATGTGGTTTTAACAAAGCCTAACGACGACAAAAATTCTGATGGGACAAAAAGTTACCTCAATAAACTTTCCGCATTACCGATTATTACATAATTGATCACAGTTTGATTTAATGTTTATAATTCCGATTGATCTTCCCCAGACCACATGCACCACGTGCACATGGCTTTTCTTCTTTCTTCGATTCGAGCCCATATGCGAAGATTTCATATACATACACAATCTATAGTATCCTATTATTTATTCATTTATATTATTATCATGTATATTATTGTTATTATATATAGATTTATTATTATTATTATTATTATTATTTTTTGTTTGACCTTATTATGCTCCTAGAGATCCAAATCGATCCCTTTTACTAAGTATATCACATACTTATTTTCACCGTGACATGAGCTAGATCCCCGTAACCTTCATCCCCGAGGTCACTACTTTTCTTTTCATGTACTTTCTGTTCCCTTTTGTCTTCACTTGATTCACGTAATTTTTTGACTCTGTCCGAGTAAATGGGTCTCTTAATCGAGTACCATCAAGCTCAGAAAGGTAAAACTGCTCTTGGCTTCCAATTTCACAGACACTATAAGGACCCAGCCATCAATAATCAAGCTTCCTAGACAAAGAAGTCTTTAGCGTCGAATCATAGACCAAGACCAAGTCGTTAACATCGATCTTCTTCTTGGTGTGAGCAGATTTTCTGTTATAGAATTGTTTCTATTGTTCCCTAATTTCATCATGGTTTACTTGTATATCTTTCAATTCATAACTTAAATTTTTCATTTGTAGTGTTCGGAATTCTAACAATTCTTCAGTACTCCAAGACCTCTTTAATACAAACGTCTGATAGGTCTCAACGGTTAATTCAAGAGGTGTAATCACGTCTCTTCCATATACCAGCCTAAATGGCGAGTATCCAAATTCTCCTAAGGTAATATTTATGGCCCATACCACTTCTCAAAGGTACTCATGCCAGCGATTTTGTTTCTCCACACACACTTTACACAACACTTTGGTAATCTTCTGAACAGTTCTTTCTGCTTGCCGTTAGCTTTGGGATGATAACTTGTGGCGAAATTTTGGTTAATTGCCAATCGTGTAGTAGGTTCATTCATTACACTGGTTTTAAATTCGGTGCCCCTGTCAGACACTAATTCTGCAAAGCATCCATGTCGGATGATTACATCATCCCAAATAAATTAAGCGACGCTTTTTGCATTTTTCCTTTTGAGTGTATGAGCCTCTACAAATCCCGTTAGATTCTCCACTGCTACTACGATATACTCATGTCCTGCATTGGTTCGATGCATTGGACCTATGCAATCAACGAACAACTTATGAAAAATCCAGCTTGTCACTACGATGTGGATGGGCTCCTTTGGGACTCTAAGATCACATTTCTGACAAACTAAACATAAGCGCACATGTTCTCTCACATCTTTATACAAGTCACCAGTTGCCCACTCATAGTTCATTAAAATTTTTCTAACAATACTATTAATCCCTCGGTGTCCTCCTTCAATTACTATCCCTTCATGATTTGCCTTTATTATTATTCTCTTCCTCACAATCGAAGATTACTCTTCTCAGTGGTCTTCCTTTGTTCGCTCTGCGGTATAACTGTTCATTTAATAGACAATATCGCCTCAATTTTGTATTCAAATGGCGTAACTCTTTTTTTGTTACATGTGACGGCCAAACAAATGTTCTTAAATAACATATTATCACCTTTAAATCATTCACTTTCTGCTCTCTATCGCTAACGGTCATCAACAAACTTTCGACATATTCCTCATCTGTTGGACTTTCTTGCTCAGAGGCATTCGGATACCTGGAAATTCTGTCTGCATTGCTATGAGATTTACCTGATTTATAGTAAATGTGAAAATCAAATGTTTGAAGTGCTAGTACCCAGCGCATAAGGCGTCCTTTGAGTACTGTCTTATTGAACAACCATTCTAAAGAATAATGGTCCACCCATACATCAAATGTGGTATTTCCAACATATCTTTTGCTGGCATTACATCTGAAGACTACACCCAAATACTCCTTTTCCGTCACTGTGTAGTTGAGCTTATGCTCATTTAGCTTCCTTGATTCAAAAGTCACAGGACGTAACCGATTATTTTCATTGTTTTGCTCTAGCACTACACCTAATGATGCATCACATGCATCCGTGAATATTTGGTAAGGCCTTTCTCCACTTTTTGCTTTGTCCCATCATGGTGCCTTTAGCATAACCTCTTCTCGCAACAGGTTCTTTAGGCTTTGAAACGACAGTTCTTGCTCTTTACCCCATTGGTATCCTACTTCATGTTTTGTCAAATCAGTAAGTGCTTTGGCCACCTTACTAAAATCTTTTATGAAGCGTCAATAATAATTCATCATTCTTAAGAATGAACATACTTCCGTAAGGCAAGTTGGACTTTTTCATTTAATTATTCTTTTTACTCGTTTAGGATCAGGTTTTATTCCTTCTTTACTAACAACGAACCCGTACATATTTAATTCTATATATAGAACATGACATTTTCTCGCTACAAAAGTTAACCCGGCTTCTTTGAATTTACAGGCTAATTTTACGAACATATTAATATGATTTTCAATTGAACTATCTGTCCAGAGCCCCACGTCGTCCTGGTAGGCTGCTGCGATGTTTTTCTATTTGTTACCTTCCAGTATTGTATCCATAAGATGCTGAAATATTTTACTTGCATTCTTTAGGCCCATACACATGACTGTATATCTTAGAAGCCCAATCAGGGTTGCGACAGCAACTTTATCTCTATCCTCCTTTCGGATCTGAATTTGCCAGTATCCTTTATAAGCGTCAACTAAAGAATACCAGTCATGTCCGACTGCGGCTTCAAGTATATCTCGTATTATGGGCAATAGATGCCCATCCTTTACAATGTATTTGTTCAATGGTCTCATATCTCCAATGACCCTCAGCTTATCAGTACCTCCCTCTTTCTTATTAACCAGCATATTGACCACTGCTCTTTTCCAGTAAACCTTGTTCTACCATTTCGCGAAGTTGTTTCTCAAATAAAAGTGCCCATTCTGGATTATTAATTTGTAACGGTCTCATTTGGGTAACTAGCACTTTCTTTCCACCAGTTCGTACCTCATACTCAATTAGATTAGTTTTCCCGATTTCAGATAAATTGAAGGCAAAAGTTTTTGCAACCTTTTTAATTAATTGATCTAGAAGGTAATCCTTATATTTATTTGGAATTTCTTTATTAATGTCTAATGCCACACTATTTTCTCTTGTAAAACACATTATTACTTGTGGGCCTTCGATATCTATAGTTCCTTTTTTACATTCTTCTTTGGCTTTCTAGTAAAACACTCGCCCGTTATGTCTGACTTTTTCAAGTTGTGTTTCATTTATTGGTATAATTTCTTCTATCACCAACTTATCAACATTTCTTATGTCAACCACCTTTTTATTTTCATATTTCATTTTCATCACCTCGGAATTGTCTACACATACACTTCGTATCGACATCACTTCACTTTTATCGTCACTTATTTCATTATCATTGTCTTCTGTTTCTTGCTTAACCCATGCTTCAGGTACCACTGTGGCAACAAACGATACTTCTTTAAACATAGACACCAATGAGCACCAGTATTGGTTATTTCTCCAACTCAAATCACAGTGTGCTGCGGCTATCCAAGGTATGCCTAATAGTACTTCAAAGCTAGCAGAAGCTATTATATAAAATCCCTGTCTCACAACTATACTGTCTATGTCTACTTGTACATTAGACACAAATCTGAGAAAATCACTAACACTATTGTCTGCCATCCTTCCTTTATCTTTTACAAGTAACCCCCTTCTTTTTGCATATTTCTCATATATAAGATTTAGTCGAGACCCAGGATCGATAGATGCAACAATCATTTCTCCATTAATTTTGACTAAACCTATGGGTACGTCTTCTTCTTGTTTCTTGTAATTATCTTGTATTGCTCTAACAATACTAACACTTATGTCCATAGCCGCAATATCATTCTCTTTTTTCTTCCTTGTCAACGCTTTTAACACTTCAGCCCTAGCTTTTGGTGACCATTTAAAGAGCTGGCCTAAGGTTAACGATACTTCTATCTCAGATATCATTTTCAAAATATTTAACTCTTGGCTTAATTCACTCAACGGAATGTATATTATAGGGCTGTAAATATGTTGTGGCACCGGAGTACTTTTATTCTCTTTTGACTCTTCTTTTTGGTCAATATTAGTTATGTCTAGAACCTCATCATCATTATTAGGACGTTTTCTTTTTCGAAAGTTATAATTCTTAGTGTTAAAAATAGGTTCTCCTTTAACTATTTCTACTTTAAGGCATTCTACACCACTATTCAATGAGGTGTCCATTATCTCAAAATAGCATATGTTTACATCCCTATTATCTATGTTTTCTGGCCTAATCTCTCTTTGATCGTTTCTTTGTTCTAATTGTCCTTGAACTACTTTGTTCAGGCAACTACATGCCACATGACCCTTTCGCTGACAAACAAAACATTGACGACTCATAGAGTTCTGCTTCCGAGGTCTCGTTGTATCTTGATTTCTAGTATTAGTATGTTCAGATGTCTCTTGATTTTCTATGAATTGCTTAAACATTTTTGTTATTTCCTTCATATTTTCTTCAAGTTTATCTATTCTACTGACATTGTTTGTTTCTTGTTTCACACGGTTAATTGTTAAAGCTCCCAATGCCATCGTTATTCCTTCCACATCTGCATCATTCGATTGAGCTCTCTCTTCAGTTGCAAGTATACCTTTTTTATTGTCAATTCGTTCTCTGTCTTTTTGAAAGTTTTCAATTAAAAGAACACTTTCTTTAGTCTTCCTTTAGATGTCCAGACAAAACCCATCTAAAAACCAATCCTATTTTTCATACTCTTTTATGGAGTCTTTTATTGGGTCAAGGTATGCCTCAAACCTACTAGCAAACTCTCTTACTGTTTCTTTTTCTCCTTGCTTTATATTTCTTAACCGATTTATTTTGATCACATCAGCACTCTTGGCATTTATAATCTTTACAATTTCCTCATTTAGGTTCTTCCATGTACACTTTGTCCTTATTAGCTCTCTAACTCATGGTTTCGTTTCTTCTAACATATGCATAACAATCATTTCATATTGGGTTTCCTCATCCCAACCCTTTGACTTCGCATACTTCTCATAGTCAAAAAGAAATCCTTCAATATCATCTTTATTTTGCCCCAAAAGAACGGCTTCGTTAGATCTTTAGACGACATAACTTACGATTATTAAAGTCAATATAAGGTATGGAGTGTCTCAGTGAAAATATAAGATGATTATCAATGAGTGAGTAAAAATTGTTTTATAAATCTATGCCTTTTGTATTACTTCAAGTTGTTACTACTATTATTTTGGCAAGAATTATGGTAATTTGCCCAGGTTCTCGTGTTATGGATAAATCAATGACTTTCGTCAAAGAAAAACCCAACTCAAAAGGTAGCTACTATTAATATCACCTAAAGCGATTTGGGATTCTGTTTACAAGGATAAGTATTTTTTTATATTTGGGCTCTCTTTTGTTTTTTAGAAAAGAACTAACCAACTTTATTACATTGTTTTCCTTTATTATTACTTTGATCTAAACTATTACATCATACTTCGATCATATGATCGTTAAGCTCTTATATTACCATAATTGATCTTATTACTGATCTCTTAAAATTATCATGCATCTTCTTATCTTACCTCGATAAACTTTCCACATTACCAATTATTACATAATTGATCGCAGTTTGATCTAATGTTTATAATTCTGATTGATCTTCCCGAACCACGTGCACACTGCAACTTATTCTTTCCTTCTTTCTTCGATTCGAGCCCATATGCGAAGATTTCATATACATACACAATCTATATTACCATATTATTTATTCATTAACATTATTATTGTTATTTTATATAGATTTATTATTATTATTATTATTATTATTTTGTTTGACCTTATTATGCTTCTAGAGATCCAAATCGATCTCTTTTACTAAGTATATCGCATACTTA